TAGAAAACATGTTATAATAAATAAATAAATAAAATAATTTATTTTTTAAAACTTAAATTAATTATATAGTTGATTATAGAAAATAAATAGAGCTCAAGTGAGATCTTTTCGCCGTAACGGTTAACCCGGCTACCGAGAATACCCTCTCACTTGGAGTGCTTGTGGCAGGCACACAGAGTAGAGCTTTAGCAAGAGCAGCAATATAAGGAAATACTTTTTTTTACTGTTCCAATAAGTTAATAAATCACCATCTTTTGGTTCTGTAGGATCAACACCAGCAATGTAACGCCAACATTCTTGCTCCATTGGATTACCTCGAATCCCTTGGCATGTACTAACACTATGTTTCCTCGACAATTTATGCAAGAATGATGTGTCGGTTACATTGCTGGTGCTTGTATTGCCTGCATTTTCGCCTAAAGCTTCTCGCTCGTTATTAATATTTATAACTTCTCTGATGTGCGAGGAAAGGATGGACGTTCTGGCCATATTCGAGTTTTCTAGAAAAAATCAATTTCTGTCATACTCATAAAGCGGTTATCCAAAAGTGCTGCTGCGACAATGGGCTTTGTTACTGGGAATCTTTTACTCATTTTTTTCATCATGTTGCTTTTTAAGCTCAACATTATTAGTGCATCATCATCTTGATTGAGCTTTAATACGTCCATAATCTCAGAACGGAACACCAGAGCAACATTCATTGTGCATGTTTTCTGAGATGACAAGATTTCGACGGCTTCGCGAAAGCTTCTCAAAAACTTTACTAAATCTTCTAAAAGAATCCACTCACTTTGAGTTATTCTAAGTTCTTCTTGGCCAATCTTCCTGTGTGAAAATGCTGTGCCAACGAGTTGGGGTTGCGGTTTTGATTGTTTGAATAATTTTGTAATTTTCGGGTCCTGATCCTGATGGTAAAGCCCTGTCCTCAATTTCGGTTTCTTCGGCATTTTCCAGTATTAGATCAACTTCAGGAACAGGGTCGCTCTCGTCACTTTCTAAGGTTTCAACAACGCCTTCTATTTTCTCCAAAAACTAGTTGTTGCTGTACCTTTTCGGCTTCAGCTTGCAACTCTGGGGCGCGATATCTCACAGCCTTGACGACTTTTTTGCATTTCTGAACTAGTACTGCAATTTCTGGAACCGAGTTTATGCCGTCGACTGTCACCAGATTGCCCATGACCTAGACATAGATGGTGAGTCAAATTGGCGATCCCAACTGCTCGTTTCACATTATTTCCAGCATCAGTGACTGCAACAATCGCTTTGCCGTCCAATATAAACTTCTTCTTTATGTCATCAATAACATCATTAATTGGACGTGGTTATGCAAAAAGGATCCAACCCGAGTTTGTGTCAAAAATGTTGACTTGAAAAATAATGTTTGTGGTCTATACTATTATGTGATGTAACAATTTTAGCAAACGTAACACAAATAAGAAGAAAAATTACAAACAGACAGAAGCCATACCAATAATTTGAGTTTATGATTTTTGAAGTATCCATACTTCAAATATCATGAACTCAAATTAACTTATTGCGGGTTGGATTAAAAACTGCGGTTGCCAACCCGCTCGCCAAGCGTGGCAACTACGGCAAATACCCCCAAAATGGATAAAGTTACTAAGAGACGGCCCCCAGTCCTCGGCGGTCCCACTATTCCTGGCTACGGTGGCGACCATGGTAACGGCGGAGCAGGGGGTGCTAAAAATCTCCGGTGGAGGTTCGATTGCCACCTACGACGACTCGACCTGGCAACATACAATGCACGTACCCTGAGGACTGACGAGAAGATTGTGGAGCTGGAAGAAGAGAAATAAGTTACGCTGGCATATTATAGAATTATCCGAAATCCGAAGAGAAGGGGAGGACACGGTAATCCTCGAATCCGGCAACTTGCTCTATCACCGGGAGGGCGACCATCTGTCCCAAGGAGGTGTCGGATTTATCGTCCACAAGTCTCTCGTTAACAACATTGTTTTCAAAGATTGAGAGTGTGTCGACGATGGTTGCGTACCTTATACTCAGAATCACCAAACGGTATTCGCTGAAGGTCGTACAGGTTTACGCACCAACCTCGGCACACCCCGATGAGGAGGTGGAGGAAATGTATGAGGATATCTCTAGAGCCATGCATTCCTCCAAAATCCAATATACGGTGTTAATGGGAGACTTCAATGCAAAATTAGGCACAAGAGAGAATGGTGAGCTCAAAGTAGGGAAATTTGGAATAGGGCAACGGAACCCAAGGGGCCAGCAGGACAACCGATGGGGAAAAAGGTTCTGGAGTGGCAGCCTCGTACCGGCAGGCGAAGTGTTGGGCGTCCCCCCACTAGATGGAGTGACGACCTGGTAAGATATGCAGGAAGTGGACGGATGCAGGTGACTCAGGACCGTGCTTTGTGGCATTCCTTTGGGGAGGTCTATGTTCAGCAGTGGACTTGTGAAGGGCTGTAATGATGATGATGATGATGATGGGTTGAATCCTTTTTGCATAACTACGTCCAATTTGTAGTTAAGTTAAATCGAAAAATCACTAAAACAAACGAACGTCTTTACGCCACTCACGCCGCGCGTGGAACCAAGCGCACGCCGTATCACCCCGCACGGCGGCGCGGCGCCCACATCTAGTACAGATATAGATGACTTTGGAACCACGTAAATATAGTTTTATTATATCTTTTTATAGGACATCGGGCAGTACTTGCATAAGTAGATATTTTTAAACTGTGCTTTAAATATCACACTAGGCAGATACGTTTATTATCAATTACAAAACAAACACTAAACAAAATCACACAATCATAAAAAACTAAAACGGGATAACTGACTTTCAAATTGAACTGAAACCTCATAAATTATAATATTTGAGTAAAACGACTCCATGCCGTAAGATCTGGAACCAGACAGTGAATCTTCAGAGAGCAGTGAAGAAGAGGAGGAAAATTAATAAAATGATAAATCTCTATAAACTTCCTTTAATATTATCATTTAAACAAAATTATTAATTTTATAAAAATTGGAAATAAAAAGAATTATTGAATGATTTAATCCGTCAACCTAAAAATTATTGTTCCTGTCAAGGTAAAAGAATAATTATTGACCGTGGCCTAGTTTCTCATTTTTTCAATTTTAATAGTAATTAATAAGAAATGATTGAATTGAATCCTACTAATATTCTAAACGTGAAAGCTTGTGAGGGTGTATGGATGTATGGACGTTTGTTACTCTTCCACGCAAAAGCTACAGAATGTATGTTAAAGAAACTTTACAATAATATAGCTCATACATAACTACATTTAGGTAGTACAAAAGTCATCTATATCTGTACCACATCATTGTGAAAAAAGTTACTAGTTGTTATTTTTTCCACCTTCATCTCTGGGCGTTAAGCACTTTATACATATTGTCCTTTTTTAAGAACATGGGGCGGTAATTATCTAAACATATTTTTGCCAAGGTTACTATTAATACAAGGTTAAAATTAATAGCTATCTTACAAATTATTACGGCACTGATCTTAAATAGTTCAAACTGTATACATAGATAATTACATGGCCATATATGCGCATACATACATGCTGAATCCCAAATTAAGAATTTAATCTTAAAATCTTTGAAATAGGTATTTCTTAATAACCAATCACAGCGCGAGAAGCTTAGCCCCCCCCCCTCCGTTGTCGGCATGCTTCGATAAGCTATCTTTCTCACACTTATGGCTACGCATAAGAAGACTTTTTTGTCGTATTCATTTGTAAACTTTATTCACGTCTGGGAGTTGTTTAAAACCGCTCAATTAGTCTGGCATTTTGCAGGTATTATTAAAAATGACTCAATAAAAATATTAATTATAACTAAACAAAATAAAATTATTCTGCTAACAGATTAAAAAATAGATAGAGTTAAACAATTAATATTTTCAAAACCGTAGAGCCATGCTGCAGCTATATTAGTATTTAGTAGTATAATTGTAACACGCATGGGTCGGCTTGACTGGGGAAGGACCACGCTCTCATAGAATACCAGCGTAAAATGGCAGCTTGACGCTGCTGTGTTTCGGATGGTGAGTGTAGAGAACCGGAGACCCATTTTACTGGAAGAAAGGCATTCCATCTTAGTCCTCACGGGTGACGACGCATCTGCATTTTGATTCTTCATTGAGGATAAATGTAGATGTCTATGGGTCACAGCAACCACTTACCATCAGGCTGACTGTGTGCTCGTTTGTTACCCTATCCTATAAAAAAATGCGGACTTGATAAATCGACATCATAAGCCACTAAAACCAAAAAATAAGTAGTCAAAAATAGCAATTAATCGATTTAAAAAAAATTAATAAGTCCAACAATCATTTATCTTTCTGACAATGTGGTTTTTATATCATTTATATGTTCAATGTAATTGTTAGATGCGATTTTATGCGACAAAACATTGGAATCTTGATTTTTAGGCGCTAGTAGAACATACCTATGCGTTTTGCGCTAGGCATGATTGTCAATGTAAAATAATGAGCTTCTTTAGACATTTTTTTTACTTATGCACTAATATATTTTAAAAATATTTTGATCCTGTATAAATGCAACCAGTATGTATGTCACTAAGATGGATTAATTTCATAGGAATTAATGATATACTTACAACTGGTAAGCAACCTGTCTTTGCCAATTTTATTAGGAATGCCACAAAGCACGGTCCTGAGCCACCTGCATCCATCAACTTCCTGCATGTCTTACCAGGTCGTCACTCCATCTAGTGGGGGCCGCCCTACACTACGTCTACCAGTACGAGGTTGCCACTCGAGAACCTCTCTTCCCCATCGGTTGTCAGTTCTGCGGCCCATTGCCACTTCAGCTTCTTACACTTGGCTTATGAAACATGCAGTATGGTAATGAAAGTGGGTGGCTCAGGCCTATAAGCTTTGTGAAGGACTGTAATGATCTAGTCGCTTGAAAAAAAAATCACTTATTATTTTATATATTGAGTCAGAATCTGTTTCATTCTAGAGAGTGCTGAAAAACAAGAAGATTTGGAGATTGATGCTTTTGAAGATAGACATACGGATTTGGATGACGACTTGCCGCTAATTGCATTTGGTTCAAAGAGTAAAAAAGATGACGATGACATAGGTAAATGAATTTATGTTTAAAACCTCCATCAAAAAATAAAAAAATCACCACAAATTCCTCTTGCATCATGTAACTACATAGAAATTTTGCTCTTAATTACTTTAGTCACATCTAGGTTCTGCAATAAAATCTTGCGCCTAGCGAAGCGCGCGGTTATCAGCTATACTAGAATTATTTTGTGCGTGCAATTTAGGTCATAAATTATCAGAGTATTTCGCTCCCTCTCCCACTCACGGGCTTTATGGGCGAGCATAGTGATGGGCAGTATTGTTGTCGATAAGCGTTATAGATAGTGTATTTAGTTTTGTCATTATGTGGGCGTGATAAAAATAAAAATAAAAATATTTATTTCAATTACATAAAGCTTTAAGATACATGGTTTGGAGAACACCTTTTAAGCAAAGAGATGCTTGTGTTAGGTGGCTCCGCTCTTCCACTTAACATTATACAGTGTATGTAAGAAACAAAATAAAAGAAAAGAAGGTACAAATACAAAAAGGATAAGAAGCGCACTTGTGTGATGTAGTGAGTGGGGCTTTGAGTGTACGCGCACACGTGTTTGTGTGCGTGTGTGTGTGTGTGTGTGTGTGTGTGTGTGTGTGTGTGTGTGTGTGTTCGTTCGTTGTGTTTATGGGTTAATGTTGTTGACCTGCGTGTAGATATGAGTTTTGGGTTTAAGTTTAGGTTTAGGTTAGCCCTACGACAATGTCTTGGGACCGGAAGAAGCCAGGCAAAGCTTCCTCCACTAACGATTTAGTTACTGCGGTCCTGTTGGTTACTAGACAGATTATGGTAACGATGATACCATAGCCTCAATGTCATCATAGGTTTTAGTCTTAAGCCAATCAGTCACAGATATTTTACAGTCACGGAGTTTTAGAGGATAGATGTTTAGTTCTTTATTCAATAGGTTATATAGGTGGGAAGATTGCCTTGCATACTGCCGCTTGGCAAAAACAGATCTAACTGGGACAGTTGGAGCGACCAAGTAGCTTCTTCTGCTACTCATAATCGGTTTTTTGGGGTCATACGGGAGGGATTTATGTTTACTCAGAATAAGGTGGAGTAGGTAAAGTTTTCTTACAGAGAGTAGGTTAGAGGTTAGGTAAAGGCTTTGGGTTGAAAATCTATAGGGTTTAAAAAGCATAACCTTAAGCAGATATCGCTGCGCCTTCTCAAGTTCTAAAAATTTAATTTTTGTTGTTCCACCCCAACATGGCAGACAGTATGTAAGGATAGATTGGGCTAATGATACATAGACTTTCTGCAAAAGGTTCTTTGAGGAAACGTGTCGTAATGTTTTAAAAGTCCATATTAATTTCCTAACCCTATTTATGATCAGTTCAGTATGCATATGCCAGGACAGGCGTTGGTCAATCATGATACCCAGGTATTTAGTATACTGTAACCTGTCAATTTTTGTACAAGAACAGTCGGGAATTGGGGGGGGGGGGTAGTACATGAGTGGATCTTTATTTGGAATTCGGGTGGTGGTTGAGTGTGTGTATACTTGGTGAAGCATACGTAATTGGACTTGGAGGCGTTTAGTGTAAGGAGGTTACGCTTAAGCCAAACTGCAATCTTAGACAGGCCGATTTCGGCTGACCTTTTAACTTTAGTCCAAGTGTTATCAGCAAAGACTATGGCAGTATCATCCGCGTATGAGAAAATGTGACTGCTGTCAATACTCATATTGCATAGGTTATTAATATATATAAGAAACAATGTCGGACCAAGGACACTTCCCTGCCCGACACCGTATGAAATTGTTTCTTGTGAGCTAGTAAACTCCCCTATTTTGACTGTTTGTTTGCGATTGTTTAGGTAGGATTTGAACAGATCGAGAGGGGTTCCCCTTATGCCTATGTTTTCAAGCCTGTCTAGAAGTATGGGGACAGATACTGTGTCAAAGGCCTTTTTGAGGTCGAGGAAAACCGCCAGACATTTGCTACCTTTATCCACTTTGTCAACTATAGTAGATGTTAGAGACAGGACCGCATCCTCAGTAGACCTTCCCTGCCTAAATCCAAACTGAGAAGGTGACAGAATGTTATACTTAGAAAGGTATTTAGAAAAACGCGAATTTAAGAGTCTTTCTAGGATTTTTGAGATGGGTGGCAGAACTGAAATTGGCCTATAGTTTGACGGGTCTGACTTGTCTCCACACTTGTACACAGGCGTTATTAGGGCTACTTTCAAAGCATCCGGGAAAAGTCCCTGCCCAAAGCAAAGGTTTGTCAAATAAGTTAAGATTGACACAAGTTGTTCGTGTGCAGCTTTAAGGAATTTAACTGGAATGTGGTCCCAACCTGGAGCACTATCTGGTTTTAAGCTCATTAGTGTAGCATGAACTTCATAAAAGTCTGTGTCGAGCAGGGCAAAAGAAGAGGCCGATGTACAGGCAGATAAAGATGAGCTAGGATCGTTATTAGCTGCTGTAGAATACGGAGGTGGTGAGATATTTTCTGCAAGAATCTTTCCTATGTTAGAGAAAAAGTTATTCATTTTGTTAATAGAGTTTTGGGGAGTATTAGATAGCTCTAGGAGTTCCAGGTTATTTGTTTTTTTAGGTTTTCGCTGTGTAATGTTGTTAATGATCTCCCACGTTTTTTTAGGGTTTTTATGTGCTTTGGCAAGTTCGTCTCTGTCATATTTTCGTTTTTGTTTTTTGATGATGCAGTTGCAGTAATTGCGGTACCTTTTGTAGGTAACTTTTAGTGCCTCATTGAAAGGGTCAAGTCTCAGTCTCCGTTGCATGTTGTTTCGGTTGTGAATACAGCGCAATAAACCAATAGTCATCCACGGTTTCAGGGTTCTATTTTTTGACGGGATTACAATAGTGATAGTACTAAGAGCGATACAGTTTTGAAGAATTTCGATTAATTTATTAGTTAGTGTGTTAGGGTTTGTTAGTTGCAGCAGGTCGATTAGGTTGCTATCTTTTAAGTGGTCGAGTCCTTTCTCAACGTTAAAAACTGATTTTATTTTAGTAGGTTTTATTATGTTTGTATGGTTTGTAATTTTTAGGAAAGTCATGAAGTGATCTGTGATAGTTGTATGAATAATTGCAATGACCGCAGTTTTATTGGCAGGTTCGAGTTTTATATTGATATGGTCTAGACAATTTTTGCCTCTCGTGGGTAGCAAGTGACCAGGGAGGAGTCCATGCATTGCCAGCATATTGAGATAATTAAGCCTATTTGTGCGTTCATGTGATTGCTCGCCTTGATTTAGTATCAGTTTAATATTAATGTCACCTGTGATAATTACATTTTAGTTGATTCAATGGTATTAAGGTGATGATTTAAGGAATGGATAAATTCGTCAGCGTTTGTAGGTGAGGGGGATCGATAAAGCGCTATGACTATAAGGTCAGGTGAGATATGGACCTCCAAACAAGATGCATGAGTAAGCTTTATTTCCCTTATTTTATATTGACATGTGTTTTTAATATATACGACCACTCCATCAGCCTTATTAAGATGATTAGTAGATTGGTGCGAATTATAGTTGGTTATATGAGGTATTTGTTTATTTAGATTTAATCTACATTCAGTTAAGATTATCAGGTCAATATCTATTTTAAGAAATATTATGTTTAGTTGAAGGTCGTCAAAGTTAGAGTAAATGGATCTAATATTTTGTGAAACAATAGTAAAGCCATGGGAGTTAGAATTGATATGGTTAGTAAGTTCACAGTCACAGTCACATTCGAACACTTGGGCTATTTCGTGATTGTCTATGTCGTTCAAAGTCTGTAAGGTGCTATTCATTATAATAGGTTTTATAGGTGCTGGAGAACGTAGCTATATAGACATTAAGTATATGTGTGAGTGTATGTGTGTTTGTTGTGGAAGAGATAGCGTGAACGAGTGTGGAGTTGTGTGTAAAGTGTGTGTTAGCGCGCAAAATGTTTAGATAGTATAAGTTTATATTTATAATAAGCTTCTTATTAATACTAATTCTATTTAATTTTAAATATCTAATGTCCCTATAAAAGCCAGAAAAATAGGCGTAACAACAGCATAAAATATGGTAGGTACAACAAATAATCATCAGTAGTATTACATAGTATTCGTTAATGTTTAACTTGATATTAAACTTAATATTTATCCTACGGCTAATTAATTTTAAGTATCTAAAGTCCATATAGGCCCAAGACAAATAGGTGCAACAACAGACCAATGTATGGTAAGCATGACAAATGATCAACAATAATATAAAATCTAGTCATTTAAGTTGTAAAAGATTATGGACCTGTGACTCACTTGTTATGGCAATAGTAGAAAAGTTGTCATCCTTTTTTATATATACCTTGCCATAGGCTGTCCAGCAGAACTTATATCCTTTGGATTTTGCTAGATCACGCGCGAGAAAGTGAAGTCGAGCTCCTTTTGTAGTTAGCTGTTCCGAGACATAAATTGGAGTGTACTCTTCCGTCTTAAATCCGAGATGCTTGGCGCATAATTTTTCGTTATGTGTTCTATTGTAGTCTTTAGACTTCTTCAATAAATCGGTCTTCAGAATAGTTGATGTGATCTCAACTATAATTGTACTATTTTTAGTCTTAGCACGCTTGTTCTGAACTCGGTATATGTCACTAATCTGCGTTTTTACGATATCGCATCCAATTACACTAGATAAAGAAATGACCATTTTCATTAATTCTTCTTTAGATTCTTTAGCCGTTTTTGGGACATTTTTGATCTCAAAGTTAGCCTTTCGGCAGCTCCTTTGCAGATCCTCTAACTTGTCCTCTAGAATAGTGATATAATTTCTATCCTTTGTTGTTTGTACTTCGAGTAGCTCTCTATGTTATTATTTGTAGATTTAATTTCCATTAGTGTCGGGTAGATTTTGTTTAACTCCTCTTGCTGTGGTGACATTAGAGATGATATCAGTGATTTGACTTCCTGTTTGAAAGCAAGGAAGTCAGAGTCGCAGTAGCATTCTCTTGGTCTTTTACTTCGTTGGAAAATGAAGTTAGGAGGGGTGTTTTGTTCTGTTTGCCCGGAAATATTCGATTCAGAGAGGGATTTGCCGCTCATGTCTTCCATTATAAGTACCAGGAGATAATAACAAGTGGGCAAGTAATTACAGCCTGGTTCGTAGTTGTTGTATGTTGGGTATATTTGATTGCCAAAAGACTTATCTTACACGGCAACGTCGGAATTTAGCTTTCTTCTGGTATAGTCAAATCAATCCGAGTACCAGGAGAGTATAAGCGCAAACAGGTATTGTACAGTATGATGCGCCAAGTGATATTGTGGTAGTGTGGAGTGGATGTTGTTTATTACGCACACAATCTCTGTCCTTGCACAACCCAGTGACATTTGAGTAGGCGCGGTTTCGCACTATTCGAGGGCGTGTCGTTGCGCGTGAGAAGGTAAAGTCGTACCTTGTCAGTGGCCGAATTGCTTGCACCAAAGAGAATATAATCACTACGTTTAAGAGGCGGGACTTCCTAACAAAAAGTAAATGTATGATATTGCGCCAAGCAACTCTACCAACATCAAGATATTACATTTAATTTTTTACAAACAGTGCTGACAACATAGGCGAATTATAATAGTGCTGTAAATGACTATCCTCGTATAATTTTATCGATGTAACATCTATCGATATATTGTTTATCGATATTTTTACATAATAAAAGTTAGATCTCTATACTGAATGATTTATGCAATATTTCTCAAATCCATTATGAAAGTAATAATTATTAGGTGGGGATTAAATAAAAATGCCGATCAGAATAAGAAATCAATGTATTTACACAGCAATTTGTTAATATATTTACAATTATTAAGTACAAAAATGTGTATAAACAAGTGGTAAATTAAAAAAATTTGTTTAACCGACTTCAATATAAATAATATGAGAACATCGATAATGTAGTCGAAGTCAATTAAAAACTAATTATTAAGGATAATTCAAAAACTACAGGAGAGATCTTGATCAAATTTATATGGGACGACATGAGAAGCACCAGCTTTCTAATAAAAAAGAATAATCAAAATCGGTGCACCTAGAAAAAAAGTTCTAAAATAAACAATAAAAAAAAAACACTCGAATTGAGAACTTCCTCCTTTTTTTGAAGTCGGTTGAAAATATTGCACAACTAAATTAGTAGTTTAAGTGGCTTTTATTATATAGGAATGGGGAAACGAGCATATATTTTAGTTTGATATCCGTATTGTGTAGTCGTTCCCAAAGCATTCACGATCCCGATTTTCAGGTTTCTTCTCGCGTAAATGTGATTCAACACTTTATTCTTAATCAGATACAAACCATAACTTGTGGAAAGTATAATATAATATTTATTTAGCCATACCCTGTTGTTCTGCTTTTTTCAAATAATCTGCTAAGTTTTCTTCAGTTATCGCCAAGGATATATTTATAATTTTGCATTCATTTCTAATTAACAATAAGCTTAAGCGCTGTATTAACTCATCGACAATAGAGCTTCTGTGACTTTCACATATCCAACTAAAATCTAAGGTGACTAACATTAAGGTTTTTACAAAAGTGCATAAATCTTGTCTATACAAACATGGTAACATTTCCTCTTGAAAAATATTTGTCGCCAAATCTATTGTTTCACACAACTTGATTGTGGGATATGTGAGTGACTGTTTATCGTTCTACCACTCCCTTAGCAAAATATAATTATAAATGGGATGTTCTTTTGGACTAGAAACAGTCAATGAAGCCTCACATTCTCTACAACGAATATTTTAAGAACAGCGTAAGCTAAGTAACCACTTACATAAACAGTCGGTTGTTTATCAAATGATTTGAAAAAAGCATTAATTTCTTCTAATTCCATCTCTTTATTTAGAATATAGTCTGGGATTTGGAATTGCGGGACTGTTTCTCCTGAGGTAAACGCAGAACTGTCATGGGATTGGGAATTCCTTACTTGGTTTGTAGGTTTTAAGGCTGGAAATACAATATCATTGAAATCAAATAGTACATTGTTATTGTCTTTCTCACAGTTGGACCCTTTACTCAGCGGCGTGCTGAGGCGAGTCAGTATTGATGATTTTAATGCTCCCTTGAAATGATGGCAAGTTGGATTTCTATTTGTTGGACTATGTTGCCTTATTATTCCAAATAAGTTTTCGAGAGCGTCTTGATTTAGCTGTCTTAAATTTAGATATTTAAAACCTTTTGAAGCAACATACTCCCAGATACATTCCAGAGATTTTATTGTTATTAGGTAGCCATTAATGCATCGAACATTTTTTAATCTGATGTCACTATCGGCTTTTAAAAAAACCATAGTTTTTAGTATTTCCTTGTACTTTGGCCAAAGTTGGTGGTGAAAACTGTTTTTGCTAACATTTGTCCGTATACCTTTTTTCACATCATTTTTAGAAGCTGGTCCATTGGTGCAGTCAAACAAATTATCGAGCAATTCAATTACTTCAGCAGTCTGTAAAAGAGCATTGCTTTGTTCTTTATTTTCAGTGTTCTCAGATATTAATTTCAAAATAGCAGCTACTGTGTTGCTCAAAATTTGTGCGGCTGTTTTTACCCTCATTTTAGCACGATATTTAGGAGCAACATGCATTTTTGTTATTTTAGTAAATCTCAGCTTCATTCGGTTTTTTTCTTCGACCTGAATCAAATGAGACCATTGAGCTTTTTTATTATTCAGCATCATAACCCCAGCGTGAAGAAAGTTGTTCCTGATAGACTTAAATAGATGAGGCACATCATAAATAATGTATATTTTTTCTTTGTTTAGTAAAAAATAATTATGATCTAGAGGAAGACCACTTCTCTTTTTGAGTAAATTTAATGCACCTACATTTGTAGGACCCTGATCGCAAACTGTTGTGAGAACTTGATATCCAACTGAATTGATGGCGTTGATATTGGTATTTATTATGTTAGTTATAGTTAGACTTTTTATAAATTGCTAAAGCTACACTTTTATTTAAATTTGACCATCTCTTGCCATGCGGTTTACGTTTCTGATTTTTTACAGTTGATTGAATAAGGCTCTTTAATACCGGCGATTCAATTTTTTCTACTTCTTTTACTGTTTTCTTCAGATGTTTATTTATTATTTTATAATTCTGTAATTGCCTTAAAAGTTTTTTTTTCTGAGGAGAGTCAGATTTAGCTGCAAAAATAAATTATATTAATATAGTTTAATAGTACAAAGTGTAAAAGCTAATATGTCAAAATTATAGGATCTTACATTTATAAGTAATTGAATTTGCTGCCGCGGGTTCAGGCATCTGCTCTGCTAAAATAAATGTAAGAAGGTGATGTGATGTGTATCTGGGTGTGACTGATGATGATTGAACCTAGACCTTAGCCGTCGGCAGCAGCCCGGGCGTCGACACCGCTCCAACTTGAGGGGGCCCTCCGAGGCGTTGTCCACATTCACTTTCCTCGTTCGTCACGATGACAGTCAATTAACTCTATCGTGCGATCAACTAACTTACAGAAGCCACTAACTATCGCGGGGTATAAGGTTACCGCACAAAACGCATACGGAGTTTCTGGATCAAAGGTCGCTACCGTTTCGCGTTGCAACAGTTAGTTCTAGAATATCAGAGGCCGCACTAGCTAATATTGCCGAATGCACTTATGCAGATTCTGAGTCAGACACAATGTGTCCCGGGGAAGCTCTCCAGTAGGGATGCGCGCCACAAATCCTAGACCGTATTTTTACTGTCCGCGCTTAATTATTCCGAGTTCCCGACAAAAATAACAGCGTGCCAATCGTTAGCACTGCTTAAAGACGACTGACTGCCCTTGTGCGTTTTTCGCACGACCGAAAGTCAAACCGGTATGAATGCACCGCGCCGAGCGTCCTCTCGCGTCAATCCTTGAAACTAGCGCTTGGCGCGAACAGTATAGATTACAAAGTTATAATGCAGTTGTGTTATGTTCATGTTATTTTTATGTTTATGTCAAAAAGACAAATCATTTTTCAGAAACTTCTGAGAAGAAGATTAAATCAAATTCTACTGATTGTAACATAAGCGATGCTCGTGAAGAAGACCTAGATTTTGAAGGTACTACTATTAAATCAAACCCTAAAGTGAAAAAAGATAATCAACCAATTAATAAAAAAGGAAAGCATCCTGCAAAGATTATGAAAACGAAAATTTTGAAACAAAAGAGTGTAAATATGCTTAAGAAAAAAACATCTGGGACATCAACTGAATACATTTTTGAATGTGATGGTTGTAGTAAAAAAAATTCAACAAAAGACATTCTCGCCAAACACATTTCATACAGTCATAAGACGCAAAAGAACTCAGACACCACTGCAGTTCGGACACAAGTAGAACAAACTCCAGTACCACAACAAATAGAAATATTTAATTGTGATATTTGCGAATTTAAAACATCTCAAAAACGTTGCATTTTGTCACATCTTAAAGCGCACGTCGCTAAACAAATGTACTGTTGTAATAATTGTGATTATAAATGTATTAGTAAAAGTAATTTGAAAACCCATATGAAAATACACACCGGTGAAAAACCTTTTTCGTGTAATATCTGTGAATATAGATTTACTAGAAAATGTGATATGGAAACACATATGAAAATACACACCGGTGAAAAACCTTTTTCGTGTAATATCTGTGAATATAGATGTATTAGAAAAAGTTATTTGCAAATACATTTAAAAACACACACCGGTGAAAAACCTTTTTCGTGTAATATCTGTGAATATAGATGTATTACAAAAAGTTGTTTGCAAATACATATGAAAACACACACCGATGAAAAACCTTTTTCGTGTAATATCTGTGAATATAGATGTATTACAAAAAGTTGTTTGCAAATACATATGAAAACACACACCGGTGAGAAACCTTTTTCGTGTAATATCTGTGAATATAGATGTATTTTAAAAAGTCATTTGCAAACCCATATGAAAATACACACTGGTGAAAAACCTTTTTCGTGTAATATCTGTGAATATAGATGTACCACAAAAAGTTATTTGCAAATACATTTAAAAACACACACCGGTGAAAAACCTTTTTCGTGTAATATCTGTGAATATAGATGTATTACAAAAAGTTGTTTGCAAATACATATGAAAACACACACCGGTGAAAAACCTGTTTCGTGTAATATCTGTGAATATAGATGTATTACAAAAAGTAGTTTGCAAATACATATGAAAACACACACCGGTGAAAAACCTTTTTCGTGTAATATCTGTGAATATAGATGTATTGCAAAGAGTAGTTTGAAAACCCATATGAAAATACACACTGGTGAAAAACCTTTTTCGTGTAATATGTGTGAACATAGATTTATTAGAAAATATGATTTGCAAATACATTTAAAAACACACACCGGTGGAAAACCTTTTTCGTGTAATATCTGTGAATATAGATGTACCACAAAAAGTAATTTCCAAAGACATATGAAAATACACACTGGTGAAAAACCTTTTTCGTGTAATATCTGTGAATATAGTTTTATTACAAAAAGTCGTTTGCAATCACATATTATGAAAATACATACTGGAGAAAGAACTTTTTCGTGTAATATCTGTGAATATAGATGTACTACAAAAAGGAATTTGCAAACCCATATGAAAATACACACTGGTGAAAAACCTTTTTCGTGTAATATGTGTGAACATAGATTTATTAGAAAATATGATTTGCAAAGCCATATGAAAATACACACCGGTGAAAAACCTTTTGCGTGTAATATCTGTGAACATAGATTTATTAGAAAAGATAATTTGCAAAGACATTTAAAAACACACACTGACACAAAACCTTTTTCGTGAGCTATCTGGTGAAATATGTACAATATTGTGTAAACTTGTTTTATATACATATGTGTGTACTAAATAAAAATCTATTTTTTGTGATGTAATTATATAACGAGTAAAAAAACCTTTCCATGACTTAAGTGCAAATTGAAACTGCATTTGATCTGAATATGTTAATTCAATAACTTATTTAAAATTTTGTACAACCGAGTTCAATATAAATTATTAAGAATAATTCAAAAACTGTTGGTCAGACCTTGATCAAATTTATATGAGACCAGACATGTGAAGCACCAGCTTTCAAATAAAAAAATAATTATCGAAATCGGTTCATACAGAAAAAAGTTATGAGGTAATAAACATAAAAAAAGAACATAGTCGAATTGAGTACCTCCTACTTTTTGAAGTCGGTAGAAAGCCAAAAATAATGGAACCTTAAAATAAATACCGTATGTGTGAATGGAGGTTAGTGGAAACAGACTAGACCTTCATGTTTTTTTTTTAATTTAAATGATAGTTTACGTTTTTCGACGTTTATCGTTACCGATACAGCCTTTAAAACTACTCTGTTGAACATAGGCTTCCCCCGTGGCTTGCGTCATATTTGCCATAGTTGCCATGCAGGTGGGTTGGCAACCGCGGTTTTTTATTATTTTCACTTGTAATCAGGGAGACGCGGCTGCCCATCTTGTAGTTTGTTTCCCATGTTATGATGCAGTGTGGTGGTGTCTGTCTGTACGTGGTAGAGCCACGCTGCAGCTATATTGTGGTTGTAGCACGAATGGATCGGTGGGTAGGACCACGCTCTTAAAGAATACCAGCATAAAACAGCAGCTTTCGTGAGAAAATAGTGTTTCGTATGGTGAGTGTAGAGAACTGGAGACGCTTTTTACTGGTAACGAGTCATTCCTTGTCAGTCCTCATGGTGACAACGCATCTGCATTTTATTTCTTAATTTATGATAAGGACTCTTAACCGATTCGTTATGGCACGGAATATTTCATGACACGCCTGGCGTGCCGTCAGCCATGTGTAAAAAATAATTTTCTTTTTTATGCTTTTTTTCACTTGTTTAGACGTAATTAAGTTTAGTTGATATCATACATCAGTTACAAACGGAAGGATACTTGTTTTTAGTGGGTAACTACATGTTTTTTTACGTGTTTTGTTTGAAATTAAGAGTAATTGACTTTTTTTATGCAGAGATCATCTATCTGTTAAAGACAACGCTACTTAGATGAATCATCCATGTCATTTATATTTTAGACGTATATATTTATAGTTATTTATATGTATTATTTGTATATGTATGTTGGTATGAATATATGTATGCTTATGTATTCATTCAAATTCATTCATTCATTTATTTATTTGTGAATACAGTAAGTTAGGTGTTCGTAAAATTTACATTAGGTATCGTGTATTCTACCACAGTATGTATGTATGTATGTACGTATATATTTGTATACATGTATAAATAGGATATATTTTTATAGTTTATTTATTGTATATAATAGTAAAATGTATATAAAATGTAATTAATTATACATTTCTATTTTCTTTTTATTCTATATTGCTACACCTACTTCAAATTCTCACCACTCCATGGGTTGACTGGTAGAGAATGCCACAAGGCATTAAGTCCGCCCTTTGTATTCTTTTAGGTTAAGGAATGCAATAAAGAATAAATAAATAAATAAATAAGATTACATACCTTTTGTACTATATTTGTTTTATAAAAAAATCATTTATACGTAAGTACAGCTAAATCACACTGGAAAACTGGTTTTTACTACTCGTAAATTAAATTTTCACCTAAAAGTATCAAACAATCAAGAACCTTAATTTGTAAAAAATTATATTATATAATAATATTTACAAATATTATTTTATTTATTTACACTCTTTATTGCACACAAAACACTACACAACACAGCAAACTTAAATTTATCAACGAATGTACAATTAGGTGGCCTTATCGCTAAACAGCGATCTCTTCCAGGCAAACCTTGGTGAAGGAGATAATTTTCATTTAAATATATAGAAGTGTGCATAAATAGAGATAAATAAGCATATATTAAAAGTACATGGTATATACAATATATAAGAAAATGTAATAATCACTTAAATAATATTATATATACGAGTACATATACACATAAACAAATATATACATACACACATACATATACACATATACCTACATATACATACATAGAATACATACACTTTTATAAATATTTCTGTAATACATTATAACTATACAGGGTATTTTTGGAACGCTCCCGAAAACTAAGACAGGCGACAGCACCAAGTATACCTTTGATCATGGGTAACACATAAATTCGATCCTGATGAAAAAAAAATCATCTTTTTACAACGTTTTATTAGCTTTATTCACGCGCTATCTATATGTTAGTACAGCTAAATGAAACGATAATTTCATAAAAAAATCATGAAAATACTGAAACATAAAACCAACAGTGGAATTACTGAATTGATATCACCTGACTAATGGAGGTCAATGTACGCGCGAACGCAAATTCGCGCGGCCCGCAACTAGCGGGCCATACCACATTACCTAATAATTTACAACACTTGTCTAAATACCTAACTTATCTACTTAACCTACTATTTTGCCACTGTACTTGTCTCCACGTAGCCACTTTAATACGAATTTACAAGTTAAATAACCCAAATAACTGGTTCGATTCCCCGCTAATCAAAAAAATACTTAAATTAATGAAATGTAACCAAGATTGGAGTCATGCGTTTTTATTCATCGTGTAGGTATGTTTATTATTCTCATGTATTCAGTTATGTACCTATTCAGATTAGTCCAGTACTAAGTTATTTAAAAAAATACTTATGAAACAGCTTACCGCTCTAAATCCTCCGTGGTCTTATGAGATGCGGCTCAAATTGTGCTCCATTCATTTCAAGGCAGATTTGGGCTCGGTGTTGCATCTCCTCATGCAGGCGGGGCATCATCGTGTAGTCTTCGACACAGTCCGTATGTAGTTTGTCGAAAACATCCACGATCCTTTTGTAGTTTCGTCAGCACTATCACACTCACGATTAAAAACCCTTTCTTTCACATACCCCCACAGAAAGAAGTCTAACGGGGTCAGATCTGGCGAGCGAGGTGGCCAACCGAGTGGTCCTAGTCCGCCAAATCCAGCGATCATCAAATAATTCGGTGAGACGCTCACAGACAAACCTCACGACATGTGGAGGTGCACCATCATGCTGGAACCATGGTCGGCGATATTCAGCCAACGATAGGTCGTCTAAAATGTCAACCAACTGTTCACTTATAAAGTTTAGGTATCGCTGTCCGTTCAGTCGCTGTGGCAGAAACACTGGTCCCAGTATGCGGTCCTTAATACCTGCCCATACGTTAACCGACCATCGGGTTTGGTGCCCGGTTTGTCGAACAGCGTGCGGGTTAACCTCTGAATACACGTGTGTATTTCTTCGGTTCCACAGGCCGTTTCTGGTAAATGTCGACTCATCCGTCCAGATAATGTGCTCAATGGAACCAGGCACACGTTGTTGCTGGTTTAATAACCAACGGCAGAAAACTCGTCGGCGGTCGTGATCGCCGGGAACTAAAGCTTGCACTTTGTGCAATTTGTATGGGCGCATCTGGTTACGCTTCAACACTTTGTGCACTGCAAAGTATGACACACTTGTTCCGTCCCGACGTCTTAACAATTTATTTAGCGATACTTCGTGTACCTAGGTTCGGATACCTAACATGTTGAGCACTATAAACGTACGCGTTAGGCATTATTAAAACAAAAAAGAATCCAAAAACGTAACAACAACAATAATATCAACACGTAATCACAAGTAAATTTATTAAACAAAACGATTGAACTGTCGCTCGCGCACGCGTGTACAAAATCAACACGGAACTGTCTCAAAAACTAAAACGAACGAACCCCGCCAAGGCTGAAACCTACTGCGTCACAAGCGTGAGGCGACAGGGTTAGGCATTCTGCCGTCATAATAAAGAAGGACACAACTAACAAAAACGTAAAATCGAAATAAAAAATAAATAGATGAATTTTTTTTGAAAGGACGCTAATAGTAATTTACTACTTTTTTATTATTAGTAAATATTAGAAAAGCATTGGTAGTGAGATACATAAAATAACAACCCGCAACTCTTGAGTTATGATTTTAAAGGGGATATCATACCAGACTTACTACGATAATAATAAAAAATTAAAAATTTTTACAACCGACTTCAATATAAATAATTAAGGATAACTCAAAAACTATTGGTCTGACCTCGATCAAATTTATATGGGACGACATGTGAAACACCAGCTCTTAATAATAAGATATAAGCTCTTAATAATAAGATATAGAATAACAAATATTGTTAAAGATGACGTAGCAACTGGTTAAATAAGTCTTTTCTTTTATGTCGAATTTATATTGTGGAGTGTAGAGAGAAGAAGGACCATCTCTATACTATGAAAAGTGTCCCTAAAAACGTGTCGAATAAGGGTGGCGCTGCAGTAGTATAGGATAAATTAAAAAAAGCGCCAAAAGTAATTAGAGTAAGATGAAGAAATAAACAAGGACCGATTAATCCGCTTGGTTTTGTACTACGTAAATAGTTGAGATTTTGTGTACTGGCATTTTACTAACTACTCTAGTCATGAAATTTTTTAAATATTTCAATTCAGCTGACTTCACTCCGTCCATAACAGCTATCTTCATATCGTAGTTTTTCAAACCCCAGCGCTATTGTGGTAGGTTTTGGAACCTCTATTTTCAGTAAATAGTAGGACACTTTTTCAACTTTCGCCCCTTATAAGATGGTTCTCCTTGTACTCTACACTCCATAATTTGTATAAGTCTTTTCTACTAAAAAAAGTCATCTGTGATCAACAGTTACGTCTAAAATTCTTACGATATTTTCTAAAATATTGATATTTTTGAATATTAAAAAATTTAGTAGATGCGCCTTTTTATCATGAGTCGAATGGTATATTTAACTCATTTATTCAAAAATTGTTAGATGCGCCCTTTTTTCTTATGACGGCAGCATTGTTTCGCACCGAGCTAGATACAGGTCG